AGTGATTAATCCACTTCACCCTGAAGTGATTGGCTCCCTTTGTGAGTCAAGTGCTCTGTCACTGGCCACAACTCAAGAGTCACTTGGCAGGGCACTGGGAACCACTCTGAAACAGAGGGGCCCCTGGATTCCCAGTGACCCTTGTCCTGGGAGAGGAGGAAACAGAAGGCTGAAGGCAGGGTCACGGGATCTAAGTAGGTGGTGGAGCAGCTGAGAGATTGAGGACTCAAGTGTCCGGTTAGGCCTAGAGCCAGTGCAGGTGTCTACTGTGTCCACTTTTCTCTGCTTCCCTTGGTGGCTGGAGTCTTGCCAGGGCCCTGCACCCACCTGGAAGAATTCCCCACAGCTTCCTGGCACTGTAGGTCCCAGAGACCTTGATCTAACCTTCCCTGTTGGAGATTTCTCTCCGCCCACTGGGGCCTGGGCGATATTACTGTAGCTCTCTGAAGGCACAGGAGGGAATCACTGGGCCGTCTTGCTCTCTGGATCCAGGATGCCTGATTCTGCTGGACATGAGAGCGAGCCTCCTTTTTGCTCATTTCACGTCTGCAAACGTGAAGCACCGCCTCTACATGCCAGGCTCTTCACTGATGGCAGATTCCCTGAGGCCCATCCCAGTGGGCCTGGGCAAAGGGCACTGTCTGCCAGGCACCAATCCAACCTCCAGTTGCAGACCTAAACCTGCCCAGCTCTGGCCACCTGGACATTCAGTGACGGCTCAATGAATCTGTGAATGAATGAGAGAACAGGCAGCTCTCCAGAGCGTGCCATCCTCCCAATCTCTTTGTCACATAGGAGATGGCTTCCTTCCAAGTGTCCTGGCAGAACTGGCCTGGCCCAGTGGGCAGCACTGTGAGGCCACAGGAGCAAGGAGGCAGCCAACCACACCACATGGCTCTCCTGGAATGGAGCTTCCTGAGCCAGGCCAAACTGCTTGGAGCCAGAGTTTGAGTCTGCAGCAGGCACAAGGGAAAGAATGGCTTTTTGGAGGTGGACTCCACAGAGGCAGGGAGGAAAAGGGGAAATTAGCAGGGGCTGTGCGGGAAAGCCAGCATGAAACAAAAGTGCCCAGATGTAGCCAGGGTCTGATTTTATCTTAGCAGCTGCCAAGAGGTCCTGAGCCTTCTTCATTCCAACTAGAGTCAGTACTGTATGAAGGACAGATTTTACCCTTTCCTTGTTCGGATTGCAGGAGGGATTCCAGACCTGGAGGAAGAGGGACAGCAAGCAGGCCTTCCCTGCTTAAACTCCCACCAGTAATCCCCCGCTTCAAGGCCACACATTCAGGACAGCAGCACACTATCTTTTTCAACTGAGCAGGCAGCAGAACTATTTTCAGTCTTCGCAGGGAGATGGCAGTCTGTGACGGTTTACCAGAACAGCCAGTGTTATCGCCTTTATTCATAGATGTGTTTCTGTGTCCAAGGCCTTATGGGGTGTTCAGGTCCTCATGGGGGAGTTCCTGGTCCTCCACTGTAGTGAGTCCCTGCTGCCTTTAGCAAAGATCTGCCTCCTCTTTCCTTCCTCCCCCCGTCTGGGGAGATTTGGGTGGGCTCCTTCCCCACACCAGAGTTGTAGAGGCTCAGGACTCTGCCCCAGACACACTATTTCTACATGGTAATGATAAAAAAAAAAAATTATTAGTAGACATTCCATTTTGGCCTAAAGACCATTAAAAAAGAAAAAAGAACAGCCATTCCTAAGATCCCAGGTGGATTTGCTCCAGGATCTTCTACAGCAGAGTAGAGGTTGCCCTAGGATCTTATATAAAATAACCTAGTATTTGTATATAGTATCCCCACATCCTCATTTATATATTAAGTCATCTCTAGGGTACTTATAATATCTGATACAAGGTAAAGGCTATGTAAATAGTTGTTTTATTGTTTAGAGAATGGTACGGAAGCTGTAGATGTTCTGTGTAGGTATGGTATTTTGTTTTTTGAAGCATTTTCCATCAGAAGCTGGAAATCAGAAGTTGGATCTGTGTATAATGAAATCCAAGGATAGAGAGGGCAAGAGGACTTCAAGTTCAAGCCCCACCTGTACAACTTAGTGAGAACCTTTCTCAAAACAAAAAATAAAAGGAAAGCGCCTCTGGGTTCCACCCCCAGCACCAGCAGGGGCGCATGCTTGGGGGAGCTAAGGAGGACTGAAAAGAGGTACCTGTGATCTTGCAGTCAGACTGGAGACTTGGGAAATTTCTCTCAATCTATGGTCCCTACTGAAGGTTTCAGAAGCCTATTTTGAGATTTAAGGCCCAACAATGACCTCCTCCCTCTCACTCTTCTGTGGCTCCCTGCCCAGCCCCTACAATGGAGGAGAGAAGCAAGCTAGTCAGGCTGGGGCAGAACTAGGGTACGAGGCACAGAAATTTGGGGGTCTCAGTTGCTGTGCCATGCATCTATACCATCACGGATATTTTAAACTGCACCCTGCCAACAGCTGACCCACCGTATGGATCATCCCCTCACTAACCTGGTGGTGGCAGCTGGAGACTGCTGCCTGTATAGCCTCTCTGTGACCTGGCCTCTGTGCAGGCCTCACAGGTGCTCTGCCTAATGGCCCCATCCTAGACACCTGTACCCCACATCCCCCACTTTGTGTGCTCTCTTCCTCCAGCTCTCCTGGGCTCCAGTGTCCCCTTAGAGCCCCCTTCTTTCCTCCATGTGTCTTTGCTGCACCCCTTGGCCCCGGTAATTCCATAGTTCCCTGCCTTGGTGCTGGCTCAGGGTAGCACTCTTTTTCCAGGCAGTGGGATACAGACCTTGGCCAACAGACTGATCTAGACCCTGCAGACCTGGGTGTGTTCCTTAACCTCTCTGAGGTTAGACCTTCTCTCAGATGATATGGAGTTAATACTACTTTACAGGCTTAAGGTGGCAAACATTTATTTTTCCCCGAGTCCAACTCATAGAAAGTGCTCCCTACGTGGAACCCACAGGTTCATATTACCTTGATGTGACTTTCGCGGTTGTCCCAGTAAGACTGCGCTCCATGTGAGTAGGAGCTGTGCCTTTTTTCCGTGTTCTCAGCCTGTGGTGGGTGAATGTGAGAGGTCGCGGTGCCAGCTGCTTGGAGAACCAAAGGCTTGGAAAGACCTTGTGAAGCACCCACTGTGCCTCCACCTCTGTAAATTCCGGTGATAATTATTCCACAGAAGGAAAGCAAGCCCTGTCCAGCACTGTATTTTGATCCTCGAGACTCTGCTGTTTTAGCGCCAGGGGGTGAAAAGCCCATAGAGCAGGGGTGGACCCCGTGGGCTGTTACAGCTCCATGGAGTTGATGGCCAGAAAAGACGTGAACCCTCTGCAGCTCTCCAACGCCCAGGCTCTTTGGAAGCATTCCTGGTTGTATGTGACAATTCACAAAATCATATTCTGTGGCAAGAGTACAGTTTTCAACAGTTCAGTAATTTGTTGACAAAAACCTCCAATAACCTTGGGCAACTACTTCAGACACTGTCACATCTGACTGCAGTTAGAGCTGTCAGGATGTTTACAAGGCCACCTCAATTCTATTTGATTCTCTGTTTTTTGTTTGTTTGATTTAGTTCTTTGGTACTGGGGAATGAATCCAGTGCCTTCACATTTAACTATATCCCAAGCTATTTTTTATTTTTAGATTTTGAGATAAATCCTCACTTACTAATTTTTGTAGGCAGAATTTGAACTTTTTTTTTTTTTTTTCTTTTTCTTTTTTATCGGTACCGGGGATCAAACTCATGACTGCCTGCTTGCAAGGCAGGCACTTATGCCACTGAGCTAAATCCCCAGCCCCCAGAATTTGAACTTGTGATCCTTCTGCCTCAATCTCTTAGAAAGCTGGAACTACATGTGTGTGCCACTGTGTCAGGCTCACTTATTATGCATTTATTAGAGATCAAATGTCACTATGTTGCCTAAGCTGGCCTTGAACTCCTGTGCTCAAGTGATCCTCCTGCCTCAGCCTCCTCAGTAACTGGGTTAAACCTGGATCGAAAACTTACTTTGAAACATGCAGTACCCCTTCTTACATGTTTCTCAGTAGTGGCTCCTGAACAAATCTTCACCCAATCTTAAAGTTCAGTTAAAAAAATACAAAGACCTACTTTCCTACAGGGCCCGGGGATTGAGGTGTCAGGAATTTTGTATAGGTCGTGGAGGTATTCTCAACTTCAGTGGCTTGTCTAGGCTCTTCTAACAGGCAAGATGTCTGTTCATTTTGTCTTTGATCTCCAGCCTAGGCTGCCTGGCTGAACCTACTGATTCTGAGTGGTTGCATCATTTTGCTTCACTGGAACATGTCAGAGGGTGGGCTGGGCCTTTAAGGGAGCCCATCCAGCCTCCCTCACCCCCGCTGGCACCACCACCCGCTTTGCCCCCTCCAGTTTTGCAGCAGTTTATTCCCCAAACCTGCAAGCTCTTTTTGCTCGAGCAAATCTGTCCATCACCCCGGCCCAGCCTTATAGCACCTTTGTCACTCTGAAAGTCCCCACCAGCCCATCTGCTGTCAGTGGCTGCTCCTTTCCCAGCTCCCAGAGACCATGGTTGCTTTCTGTCCCTGTGCTTAGCATATTCTAGAAATTGAGTACAAATTCAATAATAAGACTATCTGGTTTGGGGCATCTGGCTTCTTTCACTTGGCATAATGTGTTTGCATGTGTCATGGTCTGGCCCTTCTATCTTTTAATATTTTTATCTCTCTCTCTCCCTCTCTTTCTCTTCTCTGTCATACCCACAATTACATGACTCTTACTGATCCTTTCTGTCCTTTTTTCATCTCAAGTCCTGACTTAACCTTTCAACCCTAAGGTGCAATTAGAGAGCAGCACAGTACCCACACACTGGGTCCTAAGTGAGGACCATCTGCCCCAACCCCTGGGGGCCCAGGACGTGACGTCCCCATGGTGGTGGACAGCAGGTGGAAGTGCAGGTGAGGTGGGCTGTGAGGTGAGCTTTCTCCTCCTGCAAGCTCAAGACCCTCGGCCTTTGTCCAAGGAGGGACATGAGCACAAGGCAAAGGTGTAAGAACAAAGTTTACTGAATGCCTGGGCCCATTCCACTCGGGTTGAACTGAGACCTGAACTGGTGTCCCCCACGAGGGGACCCCAGGCTGCGGGGCCTTTCAGGGCTGCCAAGCCCCCTCGGCTTTCTATGCTGAGGGCCAGCAGCAGACAACCTGCAACCAGCTCAACAGCCCCAGGCGACGTGACCTGTGCTGTTGGGGACTAGAGTGCTCCCCATTGTTGTTTGTGGGTGCTAAGCCAGACCTCAAAGAGGGGCAACAAAGTATGGATGGTAACTGTGGACACACTGGTTACAGTTTCATAAAGAGGAGGGAGACGGGAGGTATGCAGGAACGTAGAGAGGGCTGCGGAGTGGAGCAGTCTCTGCGGAGCGCCACGCCAGTGCCTCGCTAGATGTCTCGGCCGGGATAAACGCTGCTTTCATGGCCATCTCGCAGCTCGGAATCTAGAAAGCAAGAAGATCTCTCAGACCTTAGGGCCACAGTAGACATCAGGATCTATCATGGAGGAGTGTGGCATTGCCACCCTTCCTTCTCCCACGCTGGCCCCCGTGGCCAGTCACACACATGGTTAAGTACCTGGAACAGTGTGAGGAGCCGAAAACGGCAATCTGGGGCTGGGGACTCCCGATTTCCCAGTGCGGTCCCAGCTAGGCCAAGGGTAACTGGAGAGCAAGCCTAGACATATCCATATTACCTACAGTATGGTGTTCAAATGCTCACGGGTGGAACAGCTGGAGCACCCTTTGGCTCCTCTTGGAATAACACTCCACAGAACTTCCGGTTTCTTTTTTTGAGACAGGGTCTCCTTCTGTGGTCCAAACTGGCCTCAAACTCACTATATAGCCTAAACTGGCCTTGAATTTGTAGTGATACTCCTGCTTCAGCCTCCGAGCGCTGGGATTACAGGCATGTGCTGCCACACCCAGCCAACTCCCACTTTCTAATATGTTGGGGGAGGGGAGGTGGGGCTAGGTTTCTAAGGTGTCTTCTAGGGACAGTGGCTGAGGTAGAGGTACCTGACGGAGAATAATGAGGCACTGGGGAGGCACCAGAGGCTAGGTAGAACAGGTAAATGCAGGAGGCCTACTTATGCTTTGAGATTTTCTTTCTTTCTTTTGTAGGTACAGGACAGTAGACTGATTGCAGGGCCTCTGTACTGAGCGATACCTCTACCTTTCTTTCAATCCTTGAGACAGAGTTTTGCTGAGTTGGTAGATTGTCCTAGATGAGGGCTTCAATTTATAACCCTACCTCAGCCCCCTAGAGTGCTGGGATGACAGGTGTGCGCCACTGCACCTGGATCTTGGAGGAAATTTTTTTTGGGTACCAAGAATCAAACTCAAGACCTTGCTCTGTGCTGCTAAGCTACATCCCTGCCCTTGGTGGAAGTTTTGTTCTCATTATATCCCTTTCTACCTTGGCTTGCATGACGCTCTCTGACCATTTAGAAAGTTTCTAACTGTTGAAGACCGGCAGAGTGTCTGCCGGTGAGGGCCAAGTGATATGCAGCCATCCCTCCTAGAACCCTCTCTACCTTTTGCCTCTAGAAAAGTCCAATCCTACAAGTTGCTCCTTTGCCCTAGAGTTTCCCCAAAAGCTAGGAGCCCTGATTTGGTGGGTGGATTGTGTGTGTGGGGGGGGGGGCTCAGCCTTTGACTTGAGGGTTCTCATGTCTGCCCTTGCTCCTGTCCCTGTTCATGTCCTCATCTATATGGATATCAGCAGGTGGTTCCCTTCCTTGGGCTTGGGTTTGGCTATGGTGACAGTCATTTGTGCCAGCTGAGAAGCAGCTATCAGGGGGCTGGATCCCAGAGACATGTGGCAAGTTGGCACACACCCAGGGGCTCTCCTTTGGTGTCCTTACCTTGTGGTACCACTTGTGACTTCTGGGTGGGGCTTTGATTTCGAGGTGGGACAAAGTAAGCCTGGTGACTAAAGTGGCATGAGCACCACAGAGCCGCAAGGCAGCTGGCACCTCTTCTGCTACCTGATGTGTCCTGCTATTTTCCCTTCCTCCTCCCGGTTCACCTGAATCAAGCTGGGGCAGCAGGCCACAGCTGTGACTCAGCACTGGCAGCCCATAATAAGGCGGCAGTGCTGCCAACCAGGTGAGTCATGCCAGGGGCAAGAAGACTGTGGCCCAGGGGCAAGGCTGGCTGCCTCTGGCTCTGCCTGGAGTTGCCTTGGCTCTTGCCTTGCCAATGGCTCAGGCGGGAAGCCAGTCAAGGGCTGAGACAGGCTAGCATGCCAGGATGTCCCAAGGCTGTGTCCGCCAACGTCTCCCGTGTGGGCAGGGATGGGGACAGGTGGACACGGCCTGGACCTTCATTTGCAGGGAGAACTGGCTACTTGCACACTAAGGCTGGGGCTGAGAGGACATCATGAGGTGAATCCTAGAGCTGGGGGTCCCTAACCAGGGAAAGCAGAGTAGAGGACAGTCAGCATGATCTGCCTGGGAGCAAAAGGGAAGGCAGCCCGTCCTGTCTCCTTCCCTCGCTCCCTCTTTCCCTCCACGGAGACTCCCTTTGAAGCAGCACCCCCCTCCAGAGCACGCCCTCCAGAGTCATTATTCGCTTGTAGGGCCTGCTTGGACTCCACGGTGCAGCTTTCCTGGTATCCGAACCTGGGCCCTTGGGTGGGGGTGGAGGACACCGTCGGTCTGCCGAGCCGCAGGGCGCAGCTGCACGCGCCGGGCACTAGGGGACGCCCCTGCCCAGCCGAACCCACCCGGGCGCGCCCGCTCCGCGGGTTCCGGGATCGGGAAGAGCCAAGGGCGCCTCTAGGGTGCAGCTGGAGAGGGGGCTCAGCGGGGCGCGGCACGGGGACCCCGCTGTGTCTTCCCCGCCCGGGGTGCGCGGGGTGCACGGAGCCCGGATGGCTGGCTCGCCCTCTGGGGAGCCGGCCGCCCTCGCCCCGCCCTGGCTTAGGACCGGCGAGGTGCGGCGCTGCGCCCACCACCCGGCGGAGGCGCAGAGGCGTCTTCCCCGAAGTGGTGCGTGCGGCGACACAAAGGTGCTTTACAGACCTTGCTGCCCCTCCTGTCTGCGGGCGGCGGCGCCTCCGCGGGGCGAGCGGCGGTCAGGCCTCTCCAGGAGCGCCCCCCGCCTTGCAGGGCGCGCAGGGCGCAGGGCTCGCGGCCCGGGGGGTCCCTTTGTGAACCGCGGGCGGCTCCCGCCCCTCCCTGGAAACGGTCAGCCCGGCTTCCCGGGACTGCGTGCTCGGAATAATAAATAAATTGGCTTCTCTAGGGTCGCAGTCTGGGCCCCGCCCTGGGGAGCTGTAAGCTGTCGAACTAGTCTCTGGCAGGCCTCTTGGGGGTTCCCCGAAGCGTCCCCGAGACTTGCGGCTGTAAGGTCACCGGGCCGAGGGTGGAAGAGGCGGTCCAGGGCTCCATCCTTTGCCAGAGGCCACATCGCCGGGAGGGCCCAGAAATCTGTGTTTTGGGTAAGTTTTTCGGATAATCCTGATGGCAAAGCCAGCTTGGGAACCACTTGGGAGCCTTTCAAGTCCAGTAGTTGTAATTCTCCCCGAAGACCCTCTAGGGACGTAATTGTTATTACCCGCCCCCAACCCAGCCCCCTCGGCTCACTGCAGTGTTTATTTGCCCTGCTGATGGAGATGTTCCTCCTGAGTTTGACTTGGAGCCTCCTGCTTTAATTAAGCACGTTTTTTTCCCCTCCAGTTGGAATTTCGGTGGAATTAGGAACCGAGAGGAGACATTTCCACACTCTGAAGACAGCTGTGTCGCCTCCTTTGAGGAACCTCACTCCAGAGACCTGTTTGCTTTGTTCGACCTCCGAATCCAACTGACCCACTCGATTGGGCCCATGATGAGGGAGTGGAGTCAAGTCACTTGCCTGTCACTGAATGTGGTTTCTTTTGGGAATGGCCAAACAGGGTTTGGGAAGGAGAATCCCAGACAGGATCCTAGCCGGACCCCTGCCCCAACTCGTGCAAAAGAAAAAAAGAGAAGAAACAAAACAAAACAAAACCCTTAGGAGATGTCAGCGAAAAAGAAAAAAAGGAAAGGATAGGGGAAAAAAAAAAAAACTAAAACAATTTATCTTATGCTTGCTGATGCCCTCTTCCCCTTTCCTGACCCTTTTCCTTGCTTTCAGGATGAATTAAAATTATTATCTGTTTGGTGTCTAGCGTGCTTGCACTGGCCTTCCCGATGGCTCGCTGCAGCTACAGATTCCCAAGCTTTGTGGGGTTGTTTTTGCCTCTGGTCATGACTTCCTTCCACAGCATTAGGGTTAACACAGTAACAGAAAAAGAGCTACTTAGCGAACACCCTCAGAAAAGCAGGACTGACCCCCAAACCTACTTTCATTTTCTTCTCGCCTGGGTTGTGGGTAATTTCTTGACAACTAGGAGAAAGAAGACAATGAGAAATGAATTGTTTTTCCAATGCAATTGTGAACAGATGTACAATTCCCCGGGCTCAGGAATGTTCTAGGAATCCCTTACATCACCTTAAAGGGGCAGGGAACACGAGGCGTGGCAGAAGGCTCTGTGGATACCTAGCATTGACAGGGCTCAGCCCCAGGGCGGCTGCGGTGATAACCCAGGTCGCCTTTGCTGTGTGGGACTTCTAAATTTGGAAACGTGAATCGACTCCCTTCCTTTCAGCAACTGATCTGAGTAGCAGAATCCGATTCACATGGTCCGAATCACATTTACAGGCCATGGGGGTGAGGGCTGTGCTAATTGGCCACTTGCCTCGCCACTGGCTTTTAAACAATCGGGTGTATTCTCTGCTCAGCAGGAAGCAGCAGACCCATCAAGGCCCTGGGCGCTCTCTTTGTTCTGACTTTATGGCATTTTATGCTACAAAAGGAAACACTGTGTACTCCGTGGGAGCCCATTGTGCCAGGCAGCAAGGATGTGGGCTCCTCTGCAGAGGGGCTAGTGCTCTTCCCCTAGAAGAAGTGGGGCTTTGTCCCAGGCTGGGGTGCTGGACACTGTTACTGGGCAGCTGCCTGGCCAGTGCAGAGACAGCTCTGCTACCTTGTCCTTTTTTGTGCCCATAGAGAGGCAGGGGAAGATGGAATTTCATCTTGAGTAGCAGGTCCTAGTTACACAATAAATTATACATCAGGACGATGTTAACCTCCACCTCCATTGTCTCTGGGCTTTCCAGGCAAATTCAACCCGCCACTAGATTCTGTGCTAGGTGATCCAGTCTATGTAACCAACCCTCACAGTATACCGGGAAGCTCCATCCTGGTGAGTAGGAAGTTTTTTTCTAACTGGGGATCAAACTCAAGACTTTTATTGTTTCGGGTAGATTCAGTCCCTTGAGGCAAAAGGTCTCGATTCTGTAGAGATAGAGTACATGGAGAGGGGCCCTAGACATGGGCCATCCCGCCAAAGCCATGAATGGACCCACAGGATTTGAAAACTTCGAGATTCCACCTGCCCTGGCCACTGCAGTCACCTCCCCGGCCACCTAGCCTGTGTTTTCATCATCAACAGCACACCTGCTGCAGAAGACAAATTATAGTGTCTTCTGCAGACATTATAATAATCACAGGGAGACAAGAACCAGGATTGGAAGAAGCGCAGGATGAGGGTCTGGGAGAGCCGAACCCAAATGATGGGATGCCCCGTGTAGATGTGAAATAAAAATGTCAGGGAAGGCAAGTCCAGTTAGCTTCACCTCCCAGGGCAGCCTGTGTCCCTATCAGACCAAGACGAGCCGTGTAGCGGCAGGCGAGCCTTTCTCAAGGTCCTGTGTTCTTTCGAGTTGCTCCCGTCCAACCACCCAAAGAGCTTTCTCCTGGGCATGTGCAGCAATGCTTCCTTCAGCCCTGCTTTCTCCACACTCTTCTCTCATGCCCCCTCCCATGGCCCCTAATTGCTCTGTGCCAATAGCTATACAAATCTCCCAGCCTGTTAACCCCTGGCTGGATACTGTTCATTAGCATCCAGAGTCACACCTAAGCATTTCCTGTTGGCATACTTGCCTGTACCTCTGGCTCACTTCCTGCCCGTCCCAGCCACACAACTCCTTTTCGACAACATACGACTCATTCCATGTCTCTACCCCACTGCATTTCCGTCTGCATGAGTTACCTTTTCCTCCCTACTCACCCTGTCCAACTAGTCTCTGAAAGGATTTTGCCCCAGATGGGACACTGTAGCCGGTGGGAGGCTGGGAGGTGGAACCAAGGGGCTCTGTCTTGAGGTCACCTCTCCCGCCCCTAGGCAATTTACCTGTGTCACGAAATGAATACCAATGGGCTACCTGTGCATCACTAATGCCCCTTAGGCACCACCCCAAACCTAAGCTACATGTATGCCCCTACACCACGCGTCTGGCGGAGAGAATGCCAGATCCTGGAGGGTCATGGAGTCTCTCTCCACATTCTTAAAATAAAGGCCACTTTTATTTCATACTTCTTATCTTCTAGCCACGTCGAAAATTCTATCAGTCTCCAAGACAGTCTAAACGAGTCCTGCATGGATCAGTTGCAAAGAGTGATAATGGAAAGAGTTTTGCTACCAGACTCTCAATGAAGACTGACAGCAAGGGGCAAACAGAACCTGATCGATTAAAAGCAAGGTACTAGCTGGTGTCCCCAAGAGTGGACCTGTAGCACCCATCCTGGAGGAAAGGAAGGGGTAGAAAGAGGAGGCAAGACTGGTGGTTCCTCATTTCCTCTGACTGCTGGGTGTTCCCCCTTACTGCCTTGGTCTCCTACACAGCACAGTTTGGGGTACTCCTGATCACGAGTGTATTCTCTCTTCTGGCTCTGAGTCTTATAGGCAAGTTGTGTCTTAATCATCTCTGCATTCCCAAGATCTAATTTACAACTGGGTATACAGTAGGTGTGCAGAATAAATGTATATACCTTGAAGTTGGGAGTGTTCCTTATCTAGAATACTGTTCTTTCCATAAATTTGTACTTCTACTTTCTCTAAAACATAATTCAAGACTCGCTTCTTGGAAGAAGTGTGTCCTGATTCATTAGTTCACTGTGTAGCAACAAGTTATTGAGCATCTGTTTTTGTTGTTGTTGCTGTTTTTTGTTGGATTTTGAGACAGGGTCTTGTTATGGTGTTCAGGCTGGCCTTGAACTCACTGTGTAACCTAGGCTGGCTTCAAACTCACGGTGATCCTCCTGCCTCAGCCTCCCAAGTGCTGGGATTACAGGCGTGTATCACCATGCTGTGCGTCTATTATATAATAGGCAAATTTTAGGCACTGGAGAATTGTGGGATACAAAAGAGATGAAGAATTTCTGCCCCAAGTTTCTAATGAACCCCCTCAACCCATGCACACCACTTCTTTAGGTAGCAGTCATTTGGTCCATTTGCAATCACCCAGTGTTCCGGGGATCCACAGTGCCTGGGCCGTGGTCAACAGTCAGCTATGACCCACTGTGTGCCCAGCATCGGGAAAGACAGGCATAGGAGGCCTGAGTCACGGGAAGCCCGTGATTTCACAGTCTGGACCTGAGTTCTCCGGCCCATGAGCTCCTGTTAAGTAGTTTCCAGATTTTATAAATGTGTGAACATCATCTCTTCACTTGATCCTAAGCTTCTCAAAGAAAGGGGCATCATGGCATCATAATCCTATCTCAGCCCCTGGTGTGGGACTGTGCGTGTCAAAGGGAGGAAATGATGACTGTCACCAGTAACAGGCGTTTGTCGTCCTGATGAGACACAAGAAGCCCACCATGAATAGCTCCAGTTCTCCAGTCCTGTTAGATAAGGAATGGAAAAAGGCTTCTCTTCCTACTCAGTGCTTCTCTTTTACTAAATGTTACCTTTAGAGAGTGTGCGACTTCCATCGGAAGACCCTGGGGTGTAAATACAATTGCTTTTATTTTCTGTTTCCTCTTAATTGGTGTTTTGAATCAGCTATTGCTTGGTGATTAAGGTGAGTAAGGTCTTTTTCAGAGTTTCTCAACTTGGCCCTTGCTGCTGCTTTCTATTCTGGTTCCCAGCTTGGTGCTGGTATAACTTACTCTTTCTCTAAAAGAGTTTTCCTGGAAGTTTCCTCTGAGTCAATGCACTCGGTCAGTGTTGGTTAACCTGTGGCACGCGTGCCGCTCTGGGTTGTTTATATCACTGAAAGGTCTAAAAGGTTTGCTGTGGCTGCTCTAGGGCCTTGGTCTTCATCCACGGGGTTGTACTGTTTGTCTTCCCATGTTTGCTTTGCTGTCCTAGTGGCTGATGTCACTTGCATTAGCTCACTGATGCTGGGGCCATCTGTAACCTGCATCAACCCTGCGTGCTTTGAAGTTCAGTGTGCAATAAAAAAGTTCATTAAGAAGATGTGGAATCAGGAAAATGAAGTTACAGAAATGTTCACAAAGGATCATATCCTGCTTCCTGTACTTTCTTTTTTTTTTTTTTTCTTTTAAATGTATTTCTCTGAGGAATTTATGTGGTCATTAAAACCATGGAAGAGTTAAGGAAGGACAGGCCTGGGTCAAAAGAAGGCTGAGATTCCGGAGGAGATATGTTGGCAGAGACCCAGCCTGTTTTCCTATTTGGGAGCTCGGGGTCTAAAGGGAAAATTTAAGCTGGAAAAAGTAGAAAATAATCTAGAATTCTTATGGCTGATGGCTTTGAATCTGCATTTGTTGATAGGAGTGGCTGTAAAGGTTAACACAGCCTGAGGTCACACAGCGTAGAGGGGTGTTAAGGAATGCCTGGGAGAGTGCGCCCCAACCTCTGGCCATTGGAAGGAGAAACAGGAGGGTGGAGAGAGAGACAGAGAGAGAGAGAGAGAAGAAAGGAGACTGATGAGAGGTACATGGAGCGAGATGGCAGGTCAGTAAAACTTCCTCTGGGTACTACCAGTCCACTGCCACACTGGCTCACCTTCTGTCAGGACCTTCTGACAGGAGCAGAGGTCAAGACCTAAGTTTCCTGGGCTGTCTTGAGAAGCCCAAGGGCATAGCCACCCCAGCCATGACCTTAAGGAAAGGGATGCTCCTGACCTTGAGGAGCTCTTGCCGGGCTTGGTCACAGACAGCTGTTTGATGGAAGGGGAAGTCCTGTAGGGCTCAAGGGGCTGACCTGACAATGGCCAAGTACCCTAGGATACTTCCTAGGTCAGACCATCTTGATTTTGCAAAAGTCAAACCCCAGCTAGTGGTAGAGCTATGCCTCTCCCTCTAAACTATACAGACTCTGAGAGGGCCCAGGCTTCTTATTAAAGAAAGGGCAGCCATAGATGACTATTCCTGGTAAGTACATTTTCATCTCTTAAAACAGGGTCACCATCAGTTCCTTGATTTCCTGGCAGCTTGTCTCCTTCAGCAAGTACACACACACACACACACACACACACACACACACACACACACTCACACACTCACACTCACACTGACATAATCTACTCTGGATTCAAAGCAGAACAGGAAGAAAGGCTTGTCATAGGGTTCGGTTGCTCATCACCTCTCCTTCGAGAAGTTACCACTTTCTCACAGATCTTTCATACTTGGGCAGTCAGTGTGCCCAGACATAGTGGACGTCCAGCCCCATCATCCTTGTCAGCCTCCATGTTAGGAAGTAAATATCCCCAGAGAGTCTCTCACTTCTATGACTATTTAATTACTACTCATGATTAATAGTAAACAATTAATGTGATTATCACTTACTTTCCAGCCAGAGGCTCATGGTACCTACACTCAGCAGCTGCTGGATCTTAGCCCTAAAAATGGTAGTCCCCTGTCCTACCAAGTGTCTGTGAGGGCCTCAACAGTTGCATGTCTAGTAAACACCTCCACAGGGTTTTTTAGGCTGCAGCAGACGACTCCAGGTCAGGGACAGACTTACTGTTTCGCTCATAAATCGCCCATAGTCAAGACTCATGAGTTCTGCAAATCTCTGCTCATACAGGTGAAGCAGTAGCATCAGGTACAAGCCTGAATTCATCAGCTCGTTTTGTGCCTAAACACGAAAAACACTCATAAGTTTATCTACAAAGCATGCATGATCTCACCAGGGAATGGTGTCCCACCCCAATAATCCCAGCACTCAGGAAGCTGAGGCAGGAGGATTGCTGCAAGTTGTCTCAGAAAGACAAAACAAAACAAGACACAAAGTACACATGATCTCAACCCTGGGATGAGGACCATAAGACTAAGAGGTGAGCCCAAGCTCCAAGGAAGTCCTGTCTTTGGGGACCAGAGGGCAGAGCCCAGGCAGTTACTCTGTAATTCTCTGCCTCCTAGTAGAGACTGCTCTGAGAGTGGGGTTTGCCAGGCTCAATCCCACTCTGCAGACACTCACTGAGCAGTTACATGTGTTGTGGAGAGCACAGGGAAAAACGTCTCAGTGCCCCGCTCTGGACATCACCTGATGTTGGGGAGAGAACCTCACAATGGGCAGCTCCAAGGTGGGCAGTATGTTGGGTGCCACAGTGGAGATCCAAAGGGGCAGGCTTCCTGGGGGACGCAGTTTTTGATGGTACCGGAGGGATGAAAGGGACTTCAGCAGGGAGTGGGCAGGGGGACTACAGACAGAGGCCCACAGGCCAGCAGAGAGCAGAAGGCCGATTCCTCTCTGGCTGGCGTGGCTGTTGTAGATGGGGTAAACGTCTGCTTTGGATTTTAGAAACAGTTTTGGCATGGGCTGGGGATGTGGTGAGCAGGGACCGTGTGAGGCAGAAGCCAGCAGTCTGCACATCATGCTGTTTGTGTGTGTGGAGCTGCTGGTGTCAGGACCACAGGAATGAGGACAGGAGGTACCTTACAAAAACACATTTCACTTGGGGCAGTCTGCGGTGCGGGTGCCATGGGGTGGCTTATTTTCATTCTCCTTTGCCCACGGAAAGGGCCCAACACCTCAGTTCCATATAGCAGTTCCATACTGCTGGTTTATGGCTATCCACTCAAGGGCCTCTTCTGTGGGCTGGTCTACTGTCACTGAACCCCTGGACAGTGGGCCTCGGCAGGGCCAGGTATGCACGGGGAACCACAGGGCCTTTGCTCCAGCTCTTTTTCACCTGCAGCTTTCTTGCATCTGCCTTGAATGCTGCTTTCCTGCCCTTCTACCTGGCCATGTCCTCGACTTCTTACAGCTTCACAGAAGCCACTTCAATGGAAACCTTTCTGATGGGCCGAATCCGTTCTAGACGTTCTTTTGCTCCGAGTCCTAAGCTGTGTCTTTACTTTGTAGAGCATGTCTCGCATTGCTAATTTTTTTCTTCTTTCTTTTCTTTATAGTGCTGAGGAGGGAATCTAGGGCCTCTTGCCTGTTAGACAAGCACTCTTACCACTGAGCCACTCCCCAGCGCATTTCTGGGTGTGTGTGTGTGTGTGTGTGTGTGTGTGTGTGTGTGTGTGTGTGAGTGAAGCTGTGTTTTATTTTTCCAGTGCTTGAGGCATAGGAAGGGTCAGGCTGCCTGGCCATGGTGCTCAAAGCCTTACCCCTTGGGTGACCTTCTTAGATCTTCAGGAAGTCTGTGGTGTTAGTAATGACTCCACCCTGCAGGAGAAGGGGGAGACATTTTCATCCCCCACTTGTCCTCTGAGGCAAATCTTGGGCTGGGCCACCCACTCTGGGGGACTAAAATCCCCCTGAAGGGGGCATGGCTCCTTACATCACCCGGCAAGAGTGAGATCTATGACTCCATGTTGTGTGCCCGCGAAGACAAAGCAGAGATCTGACCCAGAGACCAGCCAGTCTCATCTTTCTGCAGCAGCTGAGGCGTCTCCCTGGCCTGCTGGCCTCCTGTTCCCATTAGACTGAGGACACTACAGGAAGTTGGTGCGGAACAAGCCTCTTCTAGCACCAGATAGCCGCCAGGGAGGGTGCAGAGCAGGGATCAACGTGTCCTTCCTTTTGAATCAGGCCAACTCCGGATTTTGGTGACAACTGACCTCAAGGCCTCTCCACCGTCCTATAGGCCCATGTTTGGAGGCTTAAGTAGCATGGCTGTCCTTAGCAGTCAGCTCCTAAGTTTAGCTTTTGGTCATGTTTTCTGTGCTCTGCTGACCTTGGCCTAGTGCAGGTGGACAGCCCGGAGAGCACCTTGCTTGTTTTTTGTCTTCCTGTGTTGTGTGAGGAGCACAACATCCTTCCTCCCACTTCCCTGACAGTCATACCTGCCACTCCTTTTAGGACTATTTCCAAAGCCACCACCTCTGGGAAGCCTTCCTGGTGTTTCAGCAACTCCACACCAACTAAGCCTCGCCTCTGCTGGTTTTCCTGGCCACGGCTTCCCTCTGCGAGGGGCGGGAGGTTTTCTTTTAGCCCTGTCTTTGCCAAGAAGTCTTTATGTGAGAAACACTGGGATGCATAATGGCAAATCAATCAGCTTGAAAATGGCTTGGAACTATCAGGTTTGTCAAAGCATTCAGGGAAATCATTTACTTTTTATGACTCAATAAGGCCTGGAGGCATGCAGATGGGAAAATATCCACTAATGTTTTCTGCAGATAATTTGAAAAGTCACTTCTAGCAGATTGTGTCTCTTCTCTGTTCTGTGGGAGGGAACCTGTCACACAGAGCCATAAATCTCGCTGTGTGCCTCCTTTACGTGTACCCTTCTCAGAGCTTGTGATGCCTGACACAGGGCTGGGCCAGCCAATCAGGGCAGACATTGGCAGGAACCCAGAGTCACCCCTTTACCCCGAGCCACAAGTGGGAGGGAGCTGCTCACTGAAAGGATGCTATGGCATTTTTTCAGGAGGGCCAAGTGACCTGGATTTTGCAGCCTTCTTTATTGAAGATGCTTCTGATCCACTCCTCCCTTGACCCAGCTGTATCCCATTCTGTCTCCCATGCAGAGTTCTTTGGTCATCAGACTGAAGGGACAAGGGGGTGGCAGCAGAGGGTGGGGACACTTGGAAGGGAGAGGGCTTGTGAAGCAGTGGACATGCTCTCGGGAGCTCAGTTGTTTTCTTTCTCCTGTCTTCCACCCTTCATTTCATTAATATTCATTTTGGCCAAGAGGTTTGCTGGTGATAGAAAGCGTCAGTGTCCAGGAAATGTACTTGAAGAAGCTGACTTCCTGGTGATGTTTAATGAAGTCTTCGAGAATGTTCCAGAGATGCTCCCGGGGTGGAGAGTGGCTATGTGCTGGGCTGGGCTGGAGCAAGGGTTGGCCCTATGCTTTAGAGCAATGATAGCCACGGCCCACAGAGACCCTCCTGTGGCAGCGCACATGGCCCCTGCGACTGCTTGGGTTAAGGCTGGCAGCCTGGGGACCTTTCCAGTGCTATGAATTTGGGCAAAGCATTTTAACTATGAAGGGTCAGGTAACCCCTGTTCTGCCTGTCTATGCCAAGTGTAATGTAAATTGAATTAATAGAGTATGTCACCAAATAAAAATATCCTCACCAGGAGAAGAAAGGCAAGAGTTAAAGATGAGATCTAGGTACCTAGTTCATGAGGGACTGGCTGAGCTTTTGCTTGCACCTGTGCTCCTGGTGCCTGGTTCAGTGCCTTGTATAGTATGCTTGGTAAATAAATGTACAGATGAAACAATGCTAGCAAAACCTAGAATTCTGCATGACCCGTCTCTAACCTTCTTGTACCATGGCTATTGTTCACTAATATTTCTTATCAGGAGGCAGTGACTGTGTTGGTTTTGGATATGCTGGTACCCAGCACATATAGTAAGTGCTCAGTTAGAATATTTATTGATTTTTGAGGTACTGGGGTTTGTATCTAGGTCCTTTGCACTGAGGTACATCCCTAGCCTTTTAAAAAAATTTATTTTATCATTGAAAAATTTTAAATTTTGCTAAGTTGCACAGGCTGGGCTCAGCCTTGTGATACCCCTCCCTCTGCTTCCTGAGTGCTGAGCTTACAGGCATGAACCATCACACTCAGCTCACGATAAAAGTTTTTGTTTTGTTTTGTTTCATTTTGAGACAGGGTCTCGCAATGCAGTTCAGAATGGCTTCGAACTTGCAATCATCCTCCTGCTTCAGCCTCCTAAATGCTGGGATTGCAGGTGTGTGCCATCATACCCAGCTACAGTAAGAGTTTTTTTTTTTTTAATTTAGAGGAAAAAAAAAAACAGAAAAAAGGAGAGAAAATGCTCTAATGGATATAACTGTATGTATGTATAAGTGTGCAAGATAGATGACCATACTACTAAGTTTTTGGTAGTTGATCAAACAGAATAGATTGTATTGTCACTGATTGTCCACTTTTTATGCTTTAATTTTGTAACTTGAACAACTACTATTAAGATAACAATATGTAATTTATCAGCTAGTGATTTCTTACTGTTATTTCTTTGAAATTCTGTATTATTTGTACAATAAGAGGGTTTTTGTTTTTTTGGTCCCAGGGATTGAATGCACAACCTCATACTTGTTAGGCAGGTGCTTGTGCTGCTGAGCTAATCCCCTGACCCTCTACAATAATAAGAGTTTTTAAAGTGAGCTAAACTTTTATGTTATGTGTATTTTGCCACAGTTTAAAAATGACACTTGGAAACTGGGCATGGTGGCTCGCCCCTGTAATCCCAGCACTCGGGAGGCTGAGGCAGGAGGATCATTGCGAGTTTGAGACCAGCTTTGGCTACAAAGTAAGCTCAAGGCCAGCCTGAACTGCATAGTGAGACCCTGTCTCAAAAAGACCAAAAAAAAAGACACTTGACCCCATTCAAATCCAATTAAGTCAGAATCTCTAGAGGAAAAGAATATGCAGGTAAAGGTTAAATGCTGTTATTTAGGATAATAAATTATGGGAGATTTTTGTGTGTTTTTATAATCAAGACAAAATAACTAGAAAGATGCATCAGAAAAAAAAAACAGCTACTTGAAGTCAAGTGAGAGCCTGGTTGAGCTGAAGCTTATCCTAGCTCTCTTCTGGTTTGGCCCCTTCTTTGTACATGTCTAGATTTGGTACCAGTCACTCTGCTTCCCATGAAGGGAACCCTTTTGTCAAGGACAGGCCAGCACTGAGGGTGGTAGGAGGCCCACTAGGGG